TGTGTGTATCTGCGGCACTGTGCCTGGCTACTGTGTGTACCTGCGGCACTGTGCCTGGCTGCTGTGTGTACCTGCGGCTCTGTGCCTGGCTGCTGTGTGTACCTGCGGCACTGTGCCTGGCTGCTGTGTGTACATGCGGCACTGTGCCTGGCTGCTGTGTGTACCTGCGGCACTGTGCCTGGCTGCTGTGTGTACCTGCGGCACTGGTGGTGACCTGAACTTAATAGGTCATGAGGTCAGAGGTCACACACAGTGAAGGTGTTTGGTTCACATCACGACAGAAATGTTATTGTGTTTGTTGTGTTTAGTTATTTTTGTCATTTTCTTGTTGTTTCATCAGTATCATTTGACGTGTGTTATATCTCTTTGGCTCTGAGGAGGAGGATGAGCAGGAGGCAGAGCTCACCTGTGTTTAGGTGTAAGCACTCACCTAACGGCCTCATTAGGTGCTCGTTATGTAATCGCTAACTCGCGCTACCATGATGTTAAAATCTCCTTAAATGTTGAGTACAAGTGTTACAAGACTCGCCTCTATTTCCTCTTATATCCATCAACCTGTTCATTATTATAATTATAATATTAATAATAGTAATTATTATTATTATTATTATATCACGGTGTAGTTGGTATACTACACACATACCTCGTTTCTCCTCTATATTACGACCGAAGAAGCTACTCTGGGCGAAATGTTTCCTTGGTAAATGTTTTGGTCTGTACACAAGTGTTTTTTTTTTTTTTTTTTTTTTTTTTTTTTTTTTGTATTTTACCTGTTCCTACGTACGTATGGAGGTAGTTAGTTAATGGGGGTTTCAAGCCTATCGACTGACTGCTCGAGGGTCATCGAGGCTGCATGTAATATTTGCACCTCCAGAGAAGAATACTTCCACCCCTGAAACAGAGATTAAAACAAACTCTCAGCGTATATACACTGAGGGATATATACCTCTCAGTTTGTGTATATCCTCGTACGGGTTTCCTGGAAGGTGATGTGGGAAGTGTCATAAAACTTTCTAAGGAGACTTCCCACATTTTTGGATATCACATGTGAGGAGGTACTTTCCATGCAACCCCATTAAAAGCGATCTTTACCTACTTTCAGCTTTAATGGCCTTTGTGTACTGGACAACCTTTAAACTCCATTAAACAACCTTTACTGCCCAGATTTTTTCGGATACTATCCCCGCCACTCTTGCAGATATTTAATTGGTCTGTGACTATTTTGTTTATGGTATGTAACCAGGGACAGATCTGTGAATCTAATGAAGCTTAAGCTTGAGGGCCCCTGAACCCGGAGGGGCCCCAGAAGCCACTTTAGTCCACATTGCTTAAAATTTTTGTCTCTCCTGTATGAAAAGGGGTTGCGAAGGGGGCCTCCATAACAGTTCAAGCTGCAGGGCCCCAAAAATATAGGTCCCCCACTGAGTGTGATATGGCTAATGATTTAGAAGCAGTTATGTGCGTGGTGTGCTAATTGTTGTGTAGATGAATGGTTCAGAGAACTGACAAGTTGATAAATTAGACACATGTGCAACTTTTGGGTATCTTTATTGAGGAAACGTTTCGCCACACAGTGATGATTGTTGCAAATTACGTACGTGGTGTGCTAATTGTTACAAATTACGTACGTGGTGTGCTAATTGTTACAAATTACGTACGTGGGGTGCTAATTGTTATAAATTACGTCCGTGGTGTGCTAATTGTTACAAATTACGTACGTGGGGTGCTATTGTTCAAATTACGTACGTGGGGTGCTAATTGTTACAAATTACGTACGTGGTGTGCTAATTGTTACAAATTACGTACGTGGTGTGCTAATTGTTACAAATTACGTACGTGGTGTGCTAATTGTTACAAATTACGTACGTGGTGTGCTAATTGTTACAAATTACGTACGTGGGGTGCTAATTGTTACAAATTACGTACGTGGGGTGCTAATTGTTACAAATTACGTACGTGGGGTGCTAATTGTTACAAATTACGTACGTGGTGTGCTAATTGTTACAATTACGTACGTGGTGTGCTAATTGTTTCAAATTACGTACGTGGTGTGCTAATTGTTACAAATTACGTACGTGGGGTGCTAATTGTTACAAATTTACGTACGTGGGGTGCTTAATTGTTACAAATTACGTACGTGGGGTGCTAATTGTTACAAATTACGTACGTGGTGTGCTAATTGTTACAAATTACGTACGTGGGGTGCTAATTGTTACAAATTACGTACGTGGGGGGCTAATTGTTACAAATTACGTACGTGGGGTGCTAATTGTTACAAATTACGTCCGTGGTGTGCTGTTACAAATTACGTACGTGGTGTGCTAATTGCTACAAATTACGTACGTGGTGTGCTAATTGCTACAAATTACGTACGTGGTGTGCTAATTGTTACAAATTACGTACGTGGGGTGCTAATTGTTACAAATTACGTACGTGGGGGGCTAATTGTTACAAATTACGTACGTGGGGTGCTAATTGTTACAAATTACGTCCGTGGTGTGCTAATTGTTACAAATTACGTACGTGGTGTGCTAATTGCTACAAATTACGTACGTAGTGTGCTAATTGCTACAAATTACGTACGTGGTGTGCTAATTGTTACAAATTACGTACGTGGGGTGCTAATTGTTACAAATTACGTACGTGGTGTGCTAATTGTTACAAATTACGTCCGTGGTGTGCTAATTGTTACAAATTACGTACGTGGGGGGCTAATTGTTACAAATTACGTACGTAGGGTGCTAATTGTTACAAATTACGTACGTGGGGTGCTAATTGTTACAAATTACGTACGTGGGGGGCTAATTGTTACAAATTATGTACGTGGGGTGCTAATTGTTACAAATTACGTACGTGGGGTGCTAATTGTTACAAATTACATACGTGGGGTGCTAATTGTTACAAATTACGTACGTGGGGTGCTAATTGTTACAAATTACGTACGTGGGGTGCTAATTGTTACAAATTACGTACGTGGTGTGCTAATTGTTACAAATTACGTACGTGGTGTGCTAATTGTTACAAATTACGTACGTGGGGTGCTAATTGTTACAAATTACGTACGTGGTGTGCTAATTGTTACAAATTACGTACGTGGGGTGCTAATTGTTACAAATTACGTCCGTGGTGTGCTAATTGTTACAAATTACGTACGTGGGGTGCTAATTGTTACAAATTAACGTCCGGTGTGTGCTAATTGTTACAAATTACGTCCGTGGTGTGCTAATTGTTACAAATTACGTCCGTGGTGTGCTAATTGTTACAAATTACGTCCGTGGTGTGCTAATTGTTACAAATTACGTACGTGGTGTGCTAATTGTTACAAATTACGTCCGTGGTGTGCTAATTGTTACAAATTACGTCCGTGGTGTGCTAATTGTTACAAATTACGTACGTGGTGTGCTAATTGTTACAAATTACGTCCGTGGTGTGCTAATTGTTACAAATTACGTACGTGGTGTGCTAATTGTTACAAATTACGTCCGTGTGTGCTAATTGTTACAATTACGTCCGTGGTGACTAATGTTACAAATTACGTACGTGGTGTGCTAATTGTTACAAATTACGTACGTGGTGTGCTAATTGTTACAAATTACGTCCGTAGTGTGCTAATTGTGGCTAATGGAATTTAAACTGTTTTGATGCTTTTTGATGAAGGTTTTGTGGAGAATAAAAGTAAATTATTGGTGATAACTGTTAACTGGCAGTGATAGTGGCCAGTTAACTGGCAGTGATAGTGGCCAGTTAGCTGGCAGTGTTAGTGGCCAGTTAACTGGCAGTGATAGTGGTCAGTTAACTGGCAGTGATAGTGGCCAGTTAACTGGCAGTGATAGTGGCCAGTTAACTGGCAGTGATAGTGGCCAGTTAACTGGCAGTGATAGTGGCCAGTTAACTGGCAGTGATAGTGGCCAGTTAACTGGCAGTGATAGTGGCCAGTTAACTGGCAGTGTAAGTGTCCAGTTAACTGGCAGTGATAGTGGCCAGTTAACTGGCAGTGATAGTGGCCAGTTAACTGGCAGTGATAGTGGCCAGTTAACTGGCAGTGATAGTGGCCAGTTAACTGGCAGTGATAGTGGCCAGTTAACTGGCAGTGATAGTGGCCAGTTAACTGGCAGTGTAAGTGTCCAGTTAACTGGCAGTGATAGTGGCCAGTTAACTGGCAGTGATAGTGGTCAGTTAACTGGCAGTGTAAGTGTCCAGTTAACTGGCAGTGATAGTGGCCAGTTAACTGGCAGTGTAAGTGTCCAGTTAACTGGCAGTGATAGTGGCCAGTTAACTGGCAGTGATAGTGGCCAGTTAACTGGCAGTGATAGTGGCCAGTTAACTGGCAGTGTAAGTGTCCAGTTAACTGGCAGTGATAGTGGCCAGTTAACTGGCAGTGTAAGTGTCCAGTTAACTGGCAGTGATAGTGGCCAGTTAACTGGCAGTGATAGTGGTCAGTTAACTGGCAGTGTAAGTGTCCAGTTAACTGGCAGTGATAGTGGCCAGTTAACTGGCAGTGATAGTGGTCAGTTAACTGGCAGTGTAAGTGTCCAGTTAACTGGCAGTGATAGTGGCCAGTTAACTGGCAGTGTAAGTGTCCAGTTAACTGGCAGTGATAGTGGCCAGTTAACTGGCAGTGTAAGTGGCCAGTTAACTGGCAGTGATAGTGGCCAGTTCATATCATCCCAAGGTCACTTTTTGTCGTCAGTTAAAAGTGCTTGTTAACCAGTACCTTTTTAAAGTACTGGTACTAGACTCTCTCCCTCTGTTTATTTCTGTATCTGTCTGTTATTTATATCTGTCTCTGTTTCTTTTTCCGTCAATCTGTTCCTCTCTCTCTCTCTCTCTCTCTCTCTCTCTCTCTCTCTCTCTCTCTCTCTCTCTGTTTACTTACATCACTCTCCCCAGGTAACACTAACGGCGGTGTCAACCTTTCATAATAAAAACAGATGGCGACTCTTGTATTCCTTGTAACACTAGCGCCTGTATTAATGTAATTGCATTTTGTCTTTTTCCAGGGGCGTTCGTGGGCGTGGGGGCACCGAGCCTCTGTCCCAAGTACTCAGCCGCGTGTGTGGGCGTGGATTCCCCGAGCCCCTTTCCTGGCCATACTTATGAACAGTTTAAAATCCACGTCCAAAGCCAACCTATACAGGTCCAAAGCCAGTCTTCTATCTACGTCCAGAGCCATCCTTCTATCTACGACCAAAGTCATCCTTCTGTCCACGTCCAGAGTCAATCTATCCACGTCCGAAGTCAGTCGCCTAGCCACTCTCAGGAACAGTCATATAACCACGCCTACAGTCAGTGTTCTAGCCACGCCCTCGGCCACGCCCGAGTGGAGGAAATGGGCGAGGGGTGGAGAGGCGAGGCACCAGGAAAAGCAGCAGCCGCATTGACAGGTAAGTTGATATAACTACCTTGGATACAACCTCAGTGTGTGGCTACTTTATATGATAGTTACACGGTGGGAGCATCCGCTATGTACTGTTACGTTATATGGCAGTTACACTGTATGAAGGCCTGTTTTCTTTAATGATAATTACAGGAGAGCCAGATACAGTATTCATAGTGGAGACGGTGCTTACGAGAATGGGATAACAGATGGAATGTTCCCTTAAGAATATCACATAATAAGGACAGAGAAAGTTTGGTGGGATTTCTGATTAAAAATGTTTAGACGTTTTGAAAAGTATGGATAATTTTTGTAATGGAAGCTCAAAATATTATGCAGCAACGGCATTGAAAAAAAGGTAAGGTGTGGAGAAATTTTCCTCCAACAGGAGGCTGGAGCTAGGGGGCTGAGACCCCTCATTTCAGCAACAGAGGAGAAAGCGAGAGGTCCTAAGCAACCTACTTGTTCTTTTTTTTTTGCGAAAAGTAGAACTGTGCATCCCCTTAGCAATGATATACAGCAAGTCAGTAGAAATAAGACAGGTGTATATATATATATATATATATATATATATATATATATATATATATATATATATATATATATATATATATATATAATCAGTGCACCACGCGGAAACAAGCGGGTATATACAGAGAAAGTTCGCAGTCAGCAGGACTCGAACCTACTACAGGGAGACTGGCAAGGTTTCCTCAAGTAAGGCTCTAGACCACTCAGCCACAAATTCCTCAAAAGCTGGACAGCCTCGTTTACAAATATTATATAGACTAGACAGAGACAGACAGCCAGGGTAAGCCAAGAATATTTTAAAAGCAAAGTTGGATACACTCGCAGTGTGTGCGACTTCCCACTTCTATATGATAGTTACATTGTGGGAACACAAACTTGTGGTTACGACTACCTTATTTTCTATAATAGTTACTACTCCACTTCTTTCTTCATCTCTTTGTCCCGTCCCTATCCCCGTCTCTTAAATATACTGGCTCCCTCACCTTCGCGTGTTAGTGTGACTAGTTAATGGTTCAAGTCGGACCGACAGGTCGTCATAAGCTTCTCTCTCCTATGTGCAGGTTATTTGTGTATAAAAGTTACACTGCGGATACCTAACTAGTGTCAACAGTATTACTTGTGTTGTATAATGCAATCAGTACTCGGCTATGTGTAGTAAGCCTTACAGTATGTCAGTTTAAGCGTTCTTGGCCAGGAAGCCTCCTTATAATGTTGCTAGGAATTCTGTAAGTACACTACACAATTGTTGGTAGTAGCAGTGTTTACCCTGTCATATACTCACAGAGGCTGTTTCAGACATGAGGTGATGAAACGTGTCAGCCTGAGCTGGGAGACCTGGGGATATTGTCAACATCTCAAAAATTAAGAGATTTCTTTCCAGCAGATCTGGAGTTTCTGTCATATGGGAATTACCATCTCTAGGAGACCAAGGGGAGATATTGAGTGGCAAGAGGATTGACAGGTGAGCAGGGAGAGGGGTGAGGGATAGCAGGTAGAGGGGTGAGGGAGAGGTGCAGCAGGACTCAGGTATTGATCCAGCCTCGGGTGTGCGTCAGGCAGCAAGGAACACAGGTCAGAGGGTCATCCATATCAATGACCCTTCACGGTGGGCGCTACCCGATGGCTTTTCATCCTAGCAATTAGAGCTATCCTTCCATTCCTCGTATGAAACCAGACTATCTCATTCCCAGACTCTGTATGACCCTTGTGGCTTACACTTTATAATAATAACAACAATTGTCAACGGTATTACGTAATACTGATGACACAGTAACATTAGCAGCAGCAATAATAATAATAATAATAAATCACGCTGTTATTGTTTTGATTATTATTATCAATAGTTACATGGGTTGTTTTGTTAGGTTTAAAGCCTACGGACTTCACCTATGCATCGCACCTATGCACTGCACGTGTGAACCGCACCTATGGACTGCACGAAGGTCACTAAGGCAACCTCACCTGTACACCACCAATCATACTTAATACATTAATACTTAATATATATATATATATATATATATATATATATATATATATATATATATATATATATATATATATATATATATATATATATATATATATATATACTGACATATATATACTTCACCGTGTATATACCTTTGGGTGCTGGGGGAGATACAGTGCAAGTGTTAAGCTGACTAACTGTCTAATTGGCCAAGTGTGTGTCTGGTGTCTAGCTAGGCATCCCTAGCCTGGGGCTAATGTGTCACTCGGCATGAAATCTTAAGTTTCAATTAGCGTTTAAATCCCGTCGTATAACTTGTCGCCAGAGAAGACCAGGAAATATACAGGGTGTTTCAAAAAGATGGACCTGATTTTAAATCTTCGTGCAGGTGAAATTGAGTCACCTTTTGAAACATACAATAAAACCCGCAAATAAGAATATTTATTGACATAAATGATGCAACTTATACAGACCATAGCTGACATCAATGACATACAACTATATAGAAAGCCCCTTGTTACGCAGAGCATTTCCCGCAAATTAGGTCACTTTTGTTCCCAGGATGCGACCCACACCAGTCGACTAACACTCAGGTACCTATTTTACTGGTGGGCGAACATGGACAACAGGTGTCTTAAGGAAGCGCGCCCTGATATTTACACTCGTACCGGGGATCGAACAACGGACCTCAGTGTGTGAGCCGAGTGCGCTACCAATCGATCTACGGGACACCGTAGGAGAGAGACGAGCTTAC